GTTTGAGAATATGTATTGTGATGTATTATAAGAGGAAACAAAACAAATAATTTCTGATATACTCATTATTATATACATTGATATTTCGTTTATGTATACAACAGAATTTTACCATAATTTTTTTTCAGAAAATCATTTCGTATTATATTTAAAAAAAAATGAGCACATTCTTATATGCCATTTTTAGAATTTGACGATTTTAGATAGTTTTTAATACAAGAAAGAGATCCGCCGTAGAAAAAATAAAGTATTGCTTAGTTATTATTTGATGATTGGAATACAAAAAAAAAAAATATCTACACAAAAAATTGAATTTTGTTGATTTTAAAACTGGAAATAATGATTAAATTTCTCATAAAGTTCAATAATAAAAAATACTCTTTTAAATAAATTTACATTCTCTCAGTACTATTAAAATAACGCTTCTTTTAAAAATAACACAACATAAATAATACAAGTATACAAATGTTGTTTTGTGTAATTATAATTTAATAATATACAAATTATATCGTTTTTTCAATTGCATCAATTTCGTAAAATTTCTCTCTTGTAAACATAAAATACATTTTGTATTTATGTGATTTTATCTTGCCGAAAAATTATATTGAAAATATACCAGATTTTGAATACATAAATTATAAGGCAAGACTCTAGGGACATTGGAATACATCCATTGTAGTATACTGAGTGTAAATACAGGGTGTATTTAAACAATTATTTGAACGCAGTTATGATTTTTACAATTCTTTTAATTTTTGAAATCATAAATCATTACAAGAGATTATAGTATAAATATTTTATGGTCTTGAATTAATAAAAATGAACATTCATGACAATATATATTTTTCTATTTTAAAAATTCAATTCAAGTTTTTTTTATTTTATTTGATTATCACAACTACGTTATGATAATTTTTTAAAAGTTGACTTTTAAAATATCGACAGTTTTTATCAGTTTAATTATAACAATAAAAAAAAATCAATAATAAAATCTGATCAAATTATAAATCACAAATATTTTCATCTTCCTTACTCAGTCGATTAAAATAGTATCTGTCAATTTTTGAAAATGAATTGTATGACATACTCTATGTGTATTATTACTTGAGGTAAAAAACAAAACAGTACTTAATAAAAGTTTGATTTTAGAGTTTTTCGTTTTTTTTAATTGAAATCACTTGCCTTAGTCAGAAGAACATTATAAATATTCATACGTGTCTTTCATAATTAATGAGTTTCACTTTTTTTTTAATCGAATATATTTCGAATTGAATACGATCAAAATATTTCCATACGTTTTGATGGAAACTATTTACAAAAAATTCTGTAGGTGTAATTTACAACCTCAAGTACTTTTTTCTGCCTTGTGTCATTGTAATTATTTTTATAATAAATCTATTCACCAAAATAACATCTCTACTTTTACTTATGTATAAGTAATTTAAAATAAATAGGTGTACTTGTTTATAAAAACTTGTATTTTATTCATATATATATTATTTTACAGTATTATGTTTCCCCTAATTAACAAATGCGTTTAGCATTACTTTATTTAATTTTAAATATAAAAATCTATAAAAATTCACCACTATTGATTGGCTGCAAAATTAAGGGCTATAAAAAATCTGTTACCTGGAATTATAAAACTAACCGTATAAATGAAATCATACCCCCTATTAATAAACTACAAGTAGTGTATTGTTTCCAAACGTTATTATCAAAGAATTAATTAAATTAAGTAACAAATCGAAAGTTGATACAACAAGGTTTAGTAATGAAAATGTGCGCTAATAGATGAATATTGTCTTCTTATATCATTTCGAAATGTTTTGCACACCTTTCGATTTAGCAAAATAAAGTTAAAAAAAATTATTATTATAATTTATTCCAAAAGAATTACTCGAAATTACTAAGACTAGAGGAAAATAGCAAAAACACGGTAGTGTATTTTTTACATATAACCGCTTTAGAGACAGTTTGGTGACTTAGTGACAATTAAGGTCGGAGAAATATAAACTGCGAGTACAAAATTACCTAATTATACGAGCCTCAGAGGGGTTTCATTCCAATAGATTGTATAAGTATTTATTATTACAATTACTTAACAAAATAACCAAGTTAAAAAATTACACCCGTGTTTCAGTTTTTTCTTTAATTTTCCATAACGACATAGCAATTTGTGTATACTGTCACCGCCTGAAAAACGACCAGTGCACCTACACATCCAAGGGCTTAGCCGTACATCTCTTTTTTAGTAATTACTTTTAAACGTCTTTCACGAGAGCTCAAAATCATTCGAGAAAAACAAAACACTCCACACAGTAAAAATATATAATATTTTTGGGGCACTCGAAAACTTTGGGATTAGCATTTGAAAGAGATTTATTTTAAACAGACACCTGTCATTTTTTACATTAAAACTAAATCTTCAGTAATAAATCTCTATAAATATAAAATAAAATAAGAATTAGTTTGAAGCGCACGAACATTATCATAGAAAATGTTATTTTCGCAGTTTTTCTGTTTTTTCGTAATAAATTACTTTTATTGCGGCTATGGCGCTAAAAAAACAACTTTATCATACAAAGTAATTTATCAACTTGAGATGAAGACCACACAAAGAAATAATGTAAATTAACAGTTAGTGAGCTATTCAACAAAAATCCACTAAAAATCATAAATACAAGTGTTTGATTTTTAAATATTAAATAATTGTCAAGAAATTGCAAATTCGACATAATTGTTTACACGATCAGAAAACACACAGATTGAATTACTGTAGCAAAAAACTTCCATGCGGAACAGAAACTTTTACTTTTATTTGAATTTAAAACGAACAGCTCATGAATAGTAAAATAAATTGTATAACATATTTTATATTTATGAATTGCTGTCAGATACATAAATAAGTATGCGAAAATGAGTGTTATGTACAAATAATTATATAAACTGCTGGTAGATTGAAAATTTTGAAGCGTTTTTTAGAGTATTAAATAATATACGCCTTAAGTTATTGGCTGTTCTTTTTAATATCACAGTTGAGATATTTTGTCATTAGACTTTATAAAAGTTAAAAAGATTTCCTTTAATGTAACATATTGAATGTATTTTATGTACATTAACTAATGAAAACAACAAATAACATAATCTGTACATAAAACGAATATCAAATGTTATAATTACATTGAGTAATTGTAATTATGTTAATATTATAATTACTTATTTTAATTTTCAGCATGTAAATTAAATATTTTGAAATAATTTATCACTCAATTAATTCTATACAATTAAAAAAACACTTGTTAAGTTAGAATATAATCTGTCTCGACAAAAAAAAAAAAAATTAATTATTAAATATAAAGTATAAAAATAATTTGTTTTTTTTTTGTTCATTTTTTTAACAACTTAAACATTTTCGATGGTAAAATACGTCATAAAAGTTTCAACGTTACTTAAGAATCATCAGAAAAAGTGAAATAGACTCCACTTCCTAATAAAATTTTAATATTTTTAAAAATTAATTTTCAAGTAGCCCTATTTAGTGTAATTATAATTTAACTTATTTTTTTAATTAAATATATAGTACAATTATGTAACTTTTTAATCAAAACCTTTTTTATGGTTAAATTAAATGTAATTCTAAGAATGTAATATAACAAAACTAAAAATATTTAACTTTTAGTGACACGATTTTCTAAATTAGTTACTTAATAATTTATCTAAAATCAAGTTTATAGTCTAAATTAAGTATTTATTTTAAGTTCTACATTATATGATAATATAATTAACTATATATTAATTATCTTAAAAAAAAAATAATCTATTGCAATGCACATACATAAATTTTAATCCAAACGAAAATTATGCACATGAACTTAAAAAGAACAAATCTGTGACTTAGACAAAAACCAACGGATTTCGAGAAAATTTAAAAAAAAAACCTCTGGAATGTCTATAGACGAACCCGGTGAAAATTTCCGACCCTAATTAGACAAACATTGTCGACAGTGAGCGTTTTTCTTAAAAAATCTGATGTTTAAACATTAGTATTAAAAATAATTTTCTCTTCTTTGTGTATAATTTTCTTAGGTTAATGTCATAGATTTCTTTCAATTAAAAAATAATTTTGGAAATCGAAGGTAGTTAAGTAAATTTTTTAATGTTATATTATTAAAAGATTATTTATTAGTAAATTTTTAATAAACGAATCAATTGTCTTATATTTTAAGTGAAACATGTAAATAAGTCAGGTTTATACTAAGGAAACATACAGAAACTACTGGAAGGAACTAAAGATGTATCCTTAAAAATTTAAAAAGATAAGATGTTGGAATACTTGCAATGTTTTGTACTATATTGTTAACTTATCCAAATGTAGAACATTTTATTCTTCCTTTCGAATAATTAAGCCTTTAGCATGTGCGTACTTAATTAATGTGCACTGGCCCGTTTAAGTGAGCGACTTGAGATCACCATGATTATTTAAAACATTATATTTACACCGTTGATTAAAATTCATTAAGAACGAAGGGCTGACAAAGAACTTTTCATAAAAATTAATATCGCGGCGATGGAAGTTCAGTGGTCACGTTTCAATTAAAATTATTATTCTTTACAGTATTTATATACAACTATTATCCATTAAAACTTTGTATTTTGACATCATTGAAAAATAAATTGCACACTTAACAGTTGGAAAATTTATGTAAATTTATTCCATGCAATCTACAAAATAAAAACGTGTACGAAGCAACACGATATTTCATAGTTACAAATTTCTTAGTTCGAGTTCACAGTTTGTAAATTATCACTAAGAACACTTAGTATACTCTAAACGCAACAACAGATTTTGAGCCCGAGGGTATTTTGAAAAACAAGAATTATAACTTTAGAATGCATTTTTCGTGTCAAAGTTTACTATTGTACCACTTTTGACTTGCAATTTACAATACTAAAACTTAACCATTACAAAACTAATCGTAACGTATTCACACACTTACCGAACGTTTGCCAAGGTGTGCCGGCGATTTCTGAGGAACTTGTGGTACTTTTGTAAATCGCCTATACTACCTTGTTCGGCTTGCATTTTGGCGGGGGCCACTCCGCCACTGCCGCAAGTATCCGAACTAGTAGTACTCGTCACGCTCTTTGTACGAAGATTTTTTTTCCGTTTCCGGTCAGTTGTTGTGGTAAACTTCAGAGATATTACTGAGGCGGCAGTCGAATTAAACGTGGGCGACGGGCTATTGGCTGTTTTCCTGACCGTTAACGATGAAAAGCTTCCCAGCAGAAGGCAGTCGTCTTCGTTGAGCGGCAACGTCTGCTGATCGTCATCGACCTCTTCTTCAATGTCGTGCAACAATTGTAGTTGTTTACTACTGCTGCTGTCCAGGGACAGGAGACGCGGTGAAATCGACGTCGATTGCTGCTGCTGCTGTTTCTGCTGATCCGACGAGGTGGATGACGACGATTGGTCGTTATTACAGCCCGCAGATCTTAACGCGTGGTGGACGTTTAACGGACCGGCCGCACTGTCGTCATCCGACAACTCGACACCGTCCGGGTCGTTGGACGGCGCACCGCCGGCCGACGCCGCGGCTGCTGCGTGGGCTCGGCGGTGGCGGAGGCGGCGGCAGTAAGGGCAGCAACAGCAACACCACCAGTTGCACTTACTCGATGCGCCCCCCACGCCGCCGGCTGTGGTATTTCTCGTCCGTCACCTGTGCCTACTGGTAGCACCACCAGCAGTGCCACTGCAACTCTAGTAGTAACAGCGTGGCTCTTTTTATAACCGCTGGTAAATGCCGGCCGTTTTTCGACACCTCTACAACTTGCCGATCACTTTGGCTGCTGCCTTTACTGACCATTGATAGAAAACCATTCATCGTTATCATTCATCATTTATACTTCTATATGTTATCAATAAAATAAATGAGAATAATAATAATCACACATTACCGCATGCTTAAGAGCCCTTTTTCAGGAAAGTGTGTTTTTCATGTATAACTTTCGTTAGATATATTTTTTTTAAAGATAATAGACATTTTTTACATTTCAAAATCAAGCTATAAGCCAAATTTAAATATATAAACAAATAATGACGCGGAGGAAGTTCAAGGGTTGTAACCGAAGCAACTTAAGAAATTTTTGGTTGCCCATTGGACTAATGAAATATTGATCTATTGATTATTAAAAAAGAACTAAGAGTTACATCTTAATAAAACTGTCCAAAATCGACACCTAAACAACTTTTTACCAATTTGAAAATCGCATAATCACGTGATTGTTAAACATTTAATAAATTCAAAGCGATTTAATAAGGTTACTAGCCAAAAGCTTGTTGTAAATAAGTAGTTTTTTTTTTTAATTATGTGAAAAATGTTGACATTAGCTATGCTATAATTAAATGTAGCCGAGAGCCTTGTACATTGCATGCTTTATTTTATATAATGTTTTTCCATTTATGCGTTTCAAAAAAAGGCTCTCATTAATTTATAATGTATATTTTTAATAAGCATTGTGATTTGTGTATATTTATATCATTTTCAGAACAAGGAAAATGTGATTATGGTAATCCTTTATGCGAAAAAAATATTTTGTCATGTTTTTTTTTATAGATAAACTATTTAGAACATGTGCTATAAATATTAAATTTGTGAAATACTATTCTTAAAACGCTTACAGTTTTTTAACATTAGAAAATTACTTTTTTTTACACTTTATCCAGCTTCAAGTAAAATAGTATTTATTTTAGATTGGAAATGAATAAAACAATACACTTTTACAAACCAACAAAATCACTTATTGTGCATTAAACAGTTATTTAATGTTTATATTACATTGTAATATTAAGCAGTTTATTAAGTAAGTTAATGGAAGACGCATTTGTTTGATACTATGTTTATTGGTTGTTATTTATATTCATTATAACTTTGTTTTTTTATTAAAAAATTGAAATCATCATTGTTTCTTACAATGATATAACAATAATTCTAATATAATCATAATTTGTGGTATACATAAAGTCGAGTTTTAATTTTAAATAATAAAATTGTATATTTTAAAAATACTCCAAAAAAAATTGCAAAACAATCCATCTCATAAATTTTTATGAATTATTCTTTGTGTAAGTATTAGGTTCAACATGAAATGTATGTATATATTAGACCTCAGACACAGAAATTTTAGTCTTAACTTAGAAAAGTATAATTGAAAAACACAATAAATCATCGTTCTCATAATGTAACTTGTTGAGTGAGATGTATGGGTCAGTTAATGGTTATTGTCTGCATTAAGCTCGTTATAACGGTCATGATGTAAGGTATCCAAAGCCAGTCCACATACAATGTCTAAACTTAGTTGGTTGTTTTATTAATAGACATCATAGGTGTAAGATATTTTTAATATTATTATATTAATTTATTATTACGCGTACCGTAAAGTTGACCGTTTGATGTACGCATCTCTTATTTTATCCACTGTAATGACTGTGGTCGCCTCGTTTAATTTATAGAGACCGAAAATATCGCATTAAGGCGTATGTTCATAACACACACATACATACACACACATCACACACACACACATACATACACACGCACACACATACACAAACACACACACACACGTATGATCGCCAATGTCATATGCCGCTGTTTGATTTATTTCTCTGGCGTTTCGTATGAGAGTAAAATGATAACGAAATATATTCATTTCAATCGAAAAAATGAACCTTGGAAAAATTCCAAAGCGTTCAAACGGACCGTAGTTCTTTAATTAACTATCGACAATTTTTAAAAAATTAGAAACGTCTCTACAACTTTCGTCGATGTGTTTTTTTTATCTTATGTTGCGGCTAAACTTTGGAATTAATGAAACGCGTTTCAGTAGCGCTTTGGCTACGTTACAATGATTTTTGACCATCACACTTTTTTAAATTTTAGTTCCTTGATCTTTCAAGTATAACCATTTCTTTTTCCATTGTTTCAACTTAAAAAACAAACATTTTGATTTTACAATACTTTTTTACAGTTTTACAAGTCATGTAGAGATGTATTGACAGCCAATTTTTTGTAAAGCTCAAAATCATGTTTAATTTAGTCGTGATCTTTTTTACAACTCTACCCGCCCACTGGTATCGATAAAAGTTGGAAGACTGAAAAAATGACGCAGTAATAAAATTTATTGTTAGATTATAATGTTTGATAATTATGAAACCTTAAAATCCACGTAAAACGACATGTTTAAGTATATACATTTCATATATACCGCGTTAGTTTGAAATATTAAGTAATTTAATTAAAAAATACAGTCAATTGGCATGTAACCGGACGTAGTTTAGAGTAAAAAAACAAAAACGATAACATGACCTCATCACGTACAATGTATTAGAATAGCTTTAAACTGCAAGGTCGATTAAATTGAAAAAAAACCTGCAAAATCACTAGCAACTCGATAAGACGAATGAAGAGGGACACTGTTTTCAGTAGGAATCGTACGTGCATATAAAAATCACTTAAGCACACAACCTTGTTCTTTAAATACGTTTCTCATGAAAACAGTATCACTCGTTTATTGTAAACTATAATTCATTTACTAGTCAATGCAAATTTGCAATTAAATTTTACTGAAAAACAATTCAGTACTATGAAATGTTCTAGTTTGACTATCAAATAAATAGTGCAAAAAATAATAAATCATTACTAGGACTAAAATATTTTGTTTATTTAACTTTTTGCTGATGAAATTGTGTTACAATATCTCGTTAACGTACATGTATAATTGCTCAGTGAAAATGTTGTTGGGCTATGACTCTAAAGTATACTGTTAGTAGATATTGTGTGTGTACAGAATCTGAAAGTATAACAATAACAACAATGCAACTACTACGTTAACTCGACAGCCAGTCTTATAATAATTGATTTATTGCCGTGGATTTTTACAAGCTCTGTGCAATTGAACGTTTATTAAGACTGACATCGGTGCGCCTATACATTTAAATTAGATTTTTATGAAATACTTCTTTTGCCAGGCGTCCAGTAAAAATAAACAAAACCGATATTTTGAGCAGTATTGTTCTTATAATGAATTAATAGTAAATTATTTGTAGCGAACCTTTTTTATTGGCAATTTGAAACTTTATTTTTAATTTTCTTAGAAATAAAAACTTTAATGGTATTTATAAAAGTCCTGATATTAGTTTTTTATTCGTAAGATACAAAGATTGGTTGTAAATTTTGAGTGATCGGTTTTTTTTTAATAAAAATATAATATTCCGTTACATTAAATGATTACAATTATGTTGATTTTTTCAATTTAATCGCCGACTGTTATTTCAAAATGTTTGAACACATTTTCTTTTCGCATAGAAAATTTTCATTTTATTAATATAATAGTCGCAGCAATATGTTGTAGTAAAAAATCATATTTATTTGAGTTAAGGTGTACGAAGACGAGCAATAGTAGCGTAATAAAATGTTCTTAAAGCACAAATCCATTAAACCAGCTTTCACCTTATTCTTTTTATCTCTCATCTTAAGTGTAAGACAAAATTTCGAGAAGAACATTTATCTTCGCACGTTTATTAGAGCCGTTAATTGCCCTTATTTTATGGTTTTCACCATCTTAAAACCATTATTGATGTTACACTATCCAGCTGTATGATGTATTTTCAAACCGAACTTCGTTAAGACAGAGAATACTTAATAATTTTATTGTGTAAATAAATTTCAAACCTTTCTGGAAAAGTAAATTTTATAAACAACACTAATTATTATAACCAACTAAAAATAATGTCCCGTTCTAAAATTATTTTCTTTCCAAGAGACTCTTACTGGACACGTGTGTTGTGATGTTAGTGAGTACTAGTAATAGACAAGATAATCTGCTTTTAAATCTTGTAGAATTTAGAGTTCTCTTCGTATAAAATATTATTACCGAACCTCATACACAAAAAGTAGTTTAAGTTTTTAGGTTGGTCGTAAATCGCTCGTGTTTTTGGCCAGTCATTATTATTATTTATGGTTATTAAGAAAAAATTTTATACCCGATAGTCAGTTTCAACAGTATTTTGTGATTTTCCGGGCTGTTTGCGCAGAACTCCCATAGCGTGGGCCTTTTAAAATCTATTATAATATTATATGTAGTTCAAAAGTCGGTCGACGTGGAAAACGAAAATAACGCGGTCAACGTTATTCGTTAGAAATAAATTAAAGGAGATTAAATCTAATTTAAAAGCTTTCTGATGAAAAGATTTAAATGAATCCGTCTAATGTATAAATGTATAAATTTCAGCTAATGGACACTCGTAAAAAAACGCCATAAACCAAACGAAATGTCTTGGCGTGTCAAGCCATATCATGTGACAACGTTTGCAAATTTGACAATCGGTATTTACAGCGACCAGGGTACGTGAAGGTACCGTTTAAGAACCGTAAAGAATATTATTTAAAAAATTTCGATAATTTGACTTGTGGGGTGATATCTCATGTCCGTGTTAAGGATAGTGTGGAGTTCGACATTTGAATGAATTTATGTCCAATTTAGTGTTTGGGGCAGACATGACATTTCAAGTGGCACGCGACATCCCGTGACAATAATTAGTAAAATATATACGATAAAGAATGCAAGTGTACCCTTAACAAAGAACTTATTGATTAAAAAACAAATGGCAATATGTTTGAAGGAAATTATATTTTGACTTCAATTCTTATATTTTCATTAATTTGATTATAATAGAATGATGAATCGTTTAGTTTATTTTTCAGAATGTAATTGAATCTGCGGACTCGTTAAAATTCTTTGTCGATGTTTGAAAAAATGATAAAATAAATAGTAAAACTATTCTCGCGAGGTAAACGTCATTTTAAAATAGTTTCACCAACAAAATTTTGCTGGCTCGTATAACTTC